GAGTATCCTTTTGGATATACCAAGCCATGGTTATTGTGGCTGTTGGAATTTTGTATTGTCGTCATTTTAACCGGCTCCAACGATGTCCCGGGTCGTTGCCTTTCGTCAATATCGATCCCAAGCGTTGTCCGCCACAAAATTCAGCCAGTCTTTCTTCCACCATTTGTACCTGTCCTTAGTGTCCAAGAGAGGACTTCAGCTTCAGCACCTACACTATCCCACAGAGTCTTTACGTGTCCGTTTTGTTTCCGGTGTGATTTCAGTGTAGCGGAGGTGATAGCATTTGGTGCACTACTTTGCATATGTCCCATTTGATGCAGTTGACGTTTTTACGACAACAGAGATCTGAATGATGGGGCATTTCACTTGAATCATTTCAATTTCCACGGTCGCTTCTCCTTTCGGGTCACGGAGGCAGACGCGACAGATAGAGCTTCCAATGTTCCCCATCAGGTGCCAGAGTCTGAGCTTTGGCAAATAACAAATGGAGTCTGGAACAGACTCCTTCCATATACTTGCACCAGGTTAATCTTCGCCGTCTCCTGGGCCTTTCGTCGGTCGAATTTGCAAGGAACAGTTGCCTAGCCTTCCTTTCTGGAGGCATTCGCAACACACGCCCAAGCCATCGCAGCTGTAACTTGTCCAATATCAAGGCTCGCTCCAATATGTTCACCACAGATTATGTCGAAACATGTGACTCCAGCAATTCATTTCAGAGAATTCCTTTGATACGCATATCTGGCTTGTATTGAGATCGATGTTAATCAGTCGTGGTCTAAGACTCATGACCGTAAGTAGGCATAGGGATGAAGATCGACTTGAACATCGAGAGCTCAGTCTTCAGATTCAACTCCGCATTAATCACAACGGTCCGGGCTAGTTCACGCAGACAACGCTGTTATTGCTGTGGCGTTGGATACATAGTGGATGAATCATGTCCTAGAGATGAGTTCTAAACGCTACTGGCTGAAGGATTCCGTCGCACAACAACGATCTGCGATATAAAAAATCAGTGATTTGTTAATTACATGGCACAGAATCAAGTAATATGTCGTTTTTATTAGTATTTAACTTAATGAGTTATTTAGGTTCATTTAGTCGTTGAGTGTCTCTGCAATTGTGAAAGCTGCAAACTTGCCACCACTAAATACTTGGCGTTGAACCAGTGCCTGAAAATGAGTGCCTAAGTCCTTGCAAGGTTTGGTA